AAGGAGCTCAAAGAAGGAAGGGCTTTGGGGAGTCTGTCCCTTTAAGAACACACTTAGGAGGGTGACTTGTGGGTGACATAATTGAACCTTCTCCTTAAAGACTTTGTATCCCCGGAGGCCAGAAAGTTTTAAAAAGGACTCAGTTGCCCTGACGATGAGGGGCTCTGTGGCTCTGCACTGAAGTAAGTCATATTGAAGAAGGGTTGCCTCTGGGGAGTGCCAACCTAATAAGTCTCTGGTTAGGGCCTGTCCACAAAGATGAGGGCTGTCTTTAAATTCTCTAACTGACCAGGTTAGTTGCTGTGAAGGGTTTGTGGAATCTTTAAAGGCAAGCAGGGACTGACTGTCAGAATGCAGGTTAAATGTAACACTTTGGGATAAAAGAGAGATTTAGCTCATTATTTTATATAACTTTGTAAATGTTTGTACCATATTTAGAGAAAGTATAGACACAACCCTGTAACAAGATGGTCATTTAAGACACATGAGCAAATACATAAATGAACTCTGATTTAGTAGTACTTAAAGCTTGACAAGATCAACAGAAAACACAAGTAATTTCTTTGATAAAATCTTTGCCTATAACAGTTTTTTTGTAGATGTTACTCAGAGCAGAGTAATATTAAGATAGTCTTATTATTTTATGGACATAGAGAATTATATTTTAGTTTGACATGACCTTAAAAATCTTTTAGGCAACTCTTTAAAACTTACTCAGACCTTCATACAACATACTAAACCCTTGGATGGTTTGTCTTTATCCCTCCTCTCCATATTTGAAACAATCTTTAGGACAAACCCTTCTTTACAAAATCCTTTCTCATCCAAAAAGCCATTCCTTTTTCCTTCAACTTCTCAAAAATACATTCAATACCTATCTATATCCTTTCCAATTTTTTACTTTGTAACTTGTATTTTAAAATTAACTTTTATAAGAATTTTAAATTTAAATAAACTGTCTTTCCTTTTTAGCTGGTGGAGGAGACCATCCACCTCCACCATGGAGATCTGTGAAGGATAAAGCTTACCCGAGAAGTCAGGTAGCACCAAGTAGGTGATTGGACCTACTTGGACCGTTACCCTGGGCTCCTCCGAGGTGATCTTGAAGGGGGCCAAGGTCCCAGGGCCGTGTCAGTCTTCTGCCATCAGGCCCAAGAGGTCCGTGAGGCCTTTGCTCTGTAGAGAGTGGGAATGGGAGACTGACCTACCTTGCAGAGACAAAGAGAGGCAGTCATTCTCCAGTGTCCATTCTGGTCACAATGTGGACAGGGTCCTGGTGGTGGGCAAGGTGAAGGTCAGTGTTTTGCCCAATGTCCCATCTGGTTGCACTTGAAGCAGGCCCCTGGAGGCATGCATTGTTATCCAGCCGGTCTTGAAGTTGGAGGAGGTAGCCTGAGGGCAGCCACCAAGAGCTGGGCCTTTCACTTTTCTCAAGCCTCATCTCAGTTATTAAATATCTTAAATGCCATTTTCACAAGATCTCCCTGGGGGGTTTGAGGGAGACCCTCTGCCTGTTTAAGTTTTTTTTCTTTGAATATCAGGGAATGATTGGGAAATAAAATGGATTTGAGAATAATTGGGTTAGGTATTTAAATTCTTTACTACAGGAGGCTGAGTCATTAGAGAAGGAGCCAAGGTCAGTCATGGAAAAAGGCACATGAACTCTGATAATGCCATCAACTCCTGCCACTTCCCAGAGTGGGTAGAGATTGGCTGGGCGTGCTTTGGAAGAGATATAGGAGCAGGTATGGGACCCAGGTGGGGAAGAGAAGGGCGAGGGTGTAGCAGGGGCTGAGGGCAAGGCTGGCAGTGTTGGCTCCCTGAGGAGCCAATGACTCAGGGTCAATAGTGACTACTGTAGAAGGAGAATAGGGTGGCAGATGTTTGGGAGAGCCAGCAGGGGTGGAAGAAGGGGGGTCTGAGTCATGGGACGATGGGGTGGGAGAAGAGATTGATGTAGGAGACTGGCAGGAGGAGTTGGGAGGTGGGCAGACAGAGCCCGTGAGGTCACAAGTATGAGAGTTCAATGGGAGGGAGAGACACAGACTTTGAGGGGGGTTTTTGTCACTGGCAAGGAGGATTTGAACAGCGTTACAAGATTGGAGCAGGGAGGGTTGAGAGCAGAGAGAAAGGAAAGCTTGGATGAATGGAACTTCAGATCACTTGCCGTTGTGATGGCAGAAATTGTCAAGATCTAGAAGTGTGTGAAAATCAAAAGTACCATTTTTAGGCCATTGTGAATACTGAGGCCAAACGGTGTTGTAGTCATAGATCAGTCGCTTAGATTTTATGTCATCTTGGAGACCAAGGGGGAGGGTGTGGAGAAGGCATCCCGGTGGACATGTATAATGTAGAGGGGGAGGTCCCCATAATGTTGAAGAAAAAAGGAGAGAGAGAGAGAGAGAGAGAGAGAGGGAGAGAGGGAGAGAGAGAGGCAGGTGCCTTGGTGAGTTTACTCTTCAGGCCAGTATAGACCTAGGTCAAGATCTAGCCTACCTTACGTGACTCAGGCAAGGAGAGCAGAATCATCCAGTTGCCGTTTGGTCATAGTAAGCTGGAGGGGCTGTTGAGCTCTCACCCTAGGCAGAGGAAAGAAAAACAGGGAGGGAGAGCAAAAGAGAGAGAGAGAGAGAGTGAGAGGGAGGGGGAGTGTCACCCGAACGGGTTCCTAAGGGCAGGCGTCCCCGGCCTGGGTTGCTGTTCATAGAGAATGCCCAACTGGTTAGCCAGGCGTCCCATGCTAAGCAGGGGCACCCCAAGCAGGGGTAGGAGGCATGCCTGGCAGTGCCTGCAACTTCCAAGACCAGAGAGAGAGAGAGAACAGGCAGCCCCGAGGAGGGTGACACTTACCAAGTCTGAGGAGAGGAGTAGGTCAGGTAGAGAGCAGTGGAAGAGAAAGGCTAATGGATGGGAAAGCCAGCAAGGCAGTAAGGTCCAAAATCCACAGTCCAGAGGCACATGGGGTCAATTCAGCTGTCTGGGTTCGGGAGAGGGCAGGACACGAAGGCCAAGGGAGCAGCCCCAAGCCGGAGCGTCCTGTTAACCTCTCCTGGGTTTTGGCACCAGATGTAAGGTACTGCCAAATAAAGACCACACCACATGTGGAAAAAGAAAGATTTATTGGAACCAGACCACAGGGCTGTCACTCTCAGGTTCAGAGTGAAGCGGCTTGGCTGAATTGGGTAGTGGGCTTTATAGGAGGAGCCAAGCCATGGGGGAGGGAGTGAGTCTCTGGTGTCTGATTATCTGCGATCACCAAATGGCACAGGCCGACATGCCTGGCTAGTTGAGTAACTAGAAGTTCCTGAGGTGTTTTGCAAGCTGAGAAACAATCAGGCAGGGAGAAATAAGCGGTCATAAATCAGGAGGTCTGGTTTCAGTGCTAGCATCGGGACCTCCTGCCCGCCCCAAGAATGCCAGGGACCTAACATTTTGCACTGTGGGAAAGCAATTGCATTTTCTTTTTTCTTTTTTTTTAAATTGTTGTGCTGGGTGGGGGTACACTGTGGCATTTACACAAATTCTTACAATGTATCAAATATATCATACTTGAATTCGCCCCCTCTATCTCTCTCCTTTATCCTCCCTCACCATTCCTGGAATAGATTCAACAAGTATCATTTTTGCATTTACATACATGTGTACACAGTATTTATACCATTCACCCTCCTATACTCTGTCCCTGCCACCTCCCCTCCCACTGGTACCAACCCCCTCCCCTCTTCCCCCATCCCCCCACAAGACCTGTTCTGCCTTCCTGTTCTCCAATTTTGTAGAAGAAAAAAAGAAGAAAGACATTTTTGCTTGTTTAAGATAGAGATAGCTACACAGGGAGTTTCCTCATGACCTTTCCATGTATATATGTATTATAACCTCAATTAGTTCATCTTCTGTATTTTTCTTCATTCTACCTCAAGGGAGTAGATCAAGAGATGTGGAAAAGTTTCCTTGTGGTCAGAATGGCGAGCACTGAATTGGCAACTCAGTGCTGACAGTGGAGGGCTGGATCTGATTGCACAAAGGGCCAGGTGTGGGAGCATAGAGTGAGAGACAGAGGCAGAGTCTCGGGTATGCAGCCAAACACTGTGCTGGGTGCTATCTTTCCACAACATTTAACCTCACAATGACCCTTCTATAATGTTCTCTTCCAGAGTACAGATAAGAAAACCAAATCTCTGAGTGGTTAAATGATGCTCAGCAGGTCTAAGGGAGAGAGTTGCCTTGTCCCTCCCACCACGTGAGAATGCAGGGAGAAGGTGACATCTATGAAGAATAGACCCTCACCAGACTGGGACTCCCCACACCTTGAACTTGGGCTTCTCAGCCTCCAGAACGGTAAGAAATGTTTTCGTTGTTTATAAGCCACTTTGCTGATGGCATTTTGTGAGAGTAGCACAGACAGGGCACCAAAACTCATCTAATGTCACAGCTTCCCTAATTCCCATGTCCCTGCACTGCCCTCCACCCCCACCCCAGCATCTGTCACCCACACCAAATGACACATTGAAGTGGAAACTTCATGTCACTGTCGTTAAATGAAAACTCCTTACCACTTGCCATGAATTGAAGACATCATATAAAAACCAAAATGCAAAACCAAACCAAATCAAACCAAAAAAAGCCTGCAAGAAAACAAAGCAAACATGGTAAATTCTATTTTGATGACGGTGCCTGCTTTAGGCAGGCTTTCTTATGTAAAAAAGGAAATGAGAAAGGGTCAAAGCGATGTTAAGGACTTTCTCCGAACGTGAATAAAAGGAACAGAGAAGAACACCCATTGTCTTTTTTGGAAGACTCCCTCGGGAGTTTTGGAGGCGCCTGGGGCCCCGCCCCCAGGTGGGAAGGAGGGAGGGGCGGACTTCCTGCCCGCCCATTGGGCCACCTGCTGACTCATTTGCATGGCCCGAGGGGGCGAGGCCGGCGCGATGACGTCACTCGGGGACTGCCTCTGCCTGCAGCTGCCTTGAGGTCAGGCAGAGAGCGACAGCGCGCGGGCAGAGGAGCAGCGGCCGTCCCGCACCGGATCCTGGCCCGTGCCCCGCACAGCCGCCGCCGCCGCCGCCATGCACGACTCCGAGTGCCGCTGGAGCCTGTCCTTCTGCGGCTGCGGCTTCCTGGGCTTCTACCACATCGGGGCGACCCGCTGCCTGAGCGAGCGCGCCCCGCACCTCCTCCGCGACGCGCCCATGTTCTATGGCTGCTCCGCTGGGGCGGTGCACTGTGTCATCTTCCTGTCCCAGGTCCCACTGGGTGCGTCCAGGGCTGCCGCGCGGGGAGGGGGCGCCCACTAGGCAGGAATGCCAGTGACCCCCAGGGGTTCCCAGTGGTTCCGGAATTGGACACTGCGGGTACATCCTATAGGTCCCCTATCCAGACAGATGTCACCTTCGCGGCGTCTTGTTGCATTGTCGCTAGGCCCGGGAACGGGTGCCTGAGAGATGGCTCTCTGGGTGTGGGAACTCCGAGCGGTCCGGGCTGGAGGGAATGGTTTTGGAATTCGAGATGTTTGCTGCATCCTCTGCCACAGGTCCGTTTTGATGCGGTCCCAGGACTAAGAGCCGGGTCACCCCGGAGCGACTGGGAGGATGGAGCTCGGCCGGGAGGTACAGAGTGGTCCTGGTCTGAGCTTCAGAAGGGCCTAGGTGGGACCTACAGCGGGACTTGGCTCCAGTCTCATGGAGAACACCTGGGCTCAAGGGCTTTTGGTTTCAGCCCAGCCCTCTGAGGTCAACATTTGGGTTACCTTCAGGGCAGACTAGATGGTTTGTAGTGGTGACCATCGCGGGAGAGGGACGTAGGAAAAGAAAGTTTGTTTTTTTTTTCTCCCTCCTGCAGTCAGGAATGGATTCCTGGATAGCCTGTATGCCATCCTCTAGGCATACAGCTGTATGCCAGCTCAGTGTCATTGACAATGAGATTCTGGACATTTGAACATTTGTTCTTCTGGGAAGAGGGGGTTGTTTCTCTCTAGCAAACTACTAGAATGTGGTATCCTTCCTAGCGACCTATGTACCATAGTGATGTTCCTAAGCCAGTGGGCAGGACCCAGGGCAATGGCAGTGTGGAGCTGGTTGTGACACCGAAATGTCCCCAGCCAGGATGATAATGCCCCTTATTAGCCCCTGTTTATCTGGATTCTTTAACACTTTACTCTGCTCTGCCTGCCAGGGTGGCAGGGAGTGACTTTGTAGTGGGGAAGCACCTGCTTATACACAAAGTTTTGCCGTTGGGTAGGATCAGTGAGCAGATCCTGGGCTGATGGGATTTGGGGAGGCCTCCCTGGCTGTCTGCCTGTCAGTCTGTCTTCCCCTGCGCATGTCAGAGGGGCAAAGGGCAGAAAGTGGCTTCTGGAAGGATTAATTTGGCCACATGACCATCTGTCCATACGGGCTTTAGCCCTGATAAGATGGCTCTTTCTAGGGTTGGCGATCTGATCTGAGCCTCCACATCGACATGATCAGTTGGGACAAGGTTTAAATGTACCGACCCCAGGAGCCTGAAGTGCATCCACTCCTGTGTAGAGGGGCTCACAAGTGGGCAGAGAGGTGCAATCTGGGGCTGAGCCTGGCAGAACATGGGGAGGCACAGGAACCACTAGGGCCTGGAAAGAGGCTCATAGGCTTTGCCAGGAGCTGCTCCCTGCATTCCAGAGCTGCTTTAACTTGACTCACAGGAGGAGGCTGGCGAGGAGCATCTCCCAGGGATTGTGGAGGTTCCCCAGGACATCTGAATAGAGGCTGGACTTGGCAGAGGAGATGGGCAGAGTCTAATAACAGTGTGCAAGTTTACCCCTCTTGGCCAGGTTCTGTGGGGAGAGTTGCTGTGAGTCAAGCTGGATCAGGACAGGCTGGGGCATGTCTACCCTTGGCAGCCCAGCCCAGGATTTATGGTTGCATCCTTGGACAGAGCAGATGGGCAGAGGGGACCAGTGCCCCATGCCCACCTTACAACCTGGTAATTAGAGGTACTCTGGTGTTAGAGTCTTAAGATTGAAACTAAGAGGCTTAAGGTTTCCTTCCCCTCCCTTTTTCCCTCCTTCCTTCCTTCCTTCCTTCCTTCCTTCCTTCCTTCCTTCCTTCCTGTTCTGGGTTTTGAACTCAAGCCTTGTGCTTGCTAGCTAGGTACTCAACCACTTGAGCCACACTGCCAGTCTGAGACTATTTATTAAGTCTTTCCTCATGTTTTACCTAATCTTTTATCTCTAAAAGGTGGTTAAACCTTGTCCTACATGAAAAAGGAACAGTCTGAGATTTAGACTGACAGCAAAGTGCATTACTGAGGTCACTCCACTAGTAAGAGGTAGAAACAATTCAAACTCAGATCCAAGCCTGCATTCTTCCACTTTTTCTCCTGAACTCTGTAATGTTGAGGACAAGTGTGCCAAAGCTGAGATGCTGACTCATATGTGGCCTCTGACTTTGGAGGCATGCATGTGAGGAGCCCCCATACATAGGGGGGCCACAAGAAATGGGAGGCTCATTCCTGTGACCGAGGCCCAGCACAGCACTGTCCAGTAGAAACACCACAAGCCATACATGTCATTTTACATTTCCTATTGCCATGTTGAAAAAGTCAGACATGGATGAAATTAATTTCATCATACACAGAATAGTCCCTATAAACCATTATTAATGAGACATTTCCTACTAAAGCTTTGAAACACAGCATGTATTTTACACAGTTCCAGGGCTCCGTGGCCTCAGGTGACTGCGTGTTAAGTATTGCAGGTCTAGAAAAAGACCTGCAGTTTCCTTGCTGTCTAGTTCCTGGTCTCATCCCTGTCTCCAGTGTGGTACCCTCTTGTGTATTTGTCTTCTGTCCCTAGATCAGACTGTCCAGAGCCTCATGGACCTTGTCCGGAAAGCCAGGAGACAGAACATCAGCACCCTCCATCCATCCTTTGAGATAAGCAAGTGCCTCCGAGATACGCTTGAAGAAAATCTACCCTCCAATGTGCACCAACTCATCTCTGGCAAAGTAGGCATTTCACTCACCAGAGTGTCTGATGGGAAGAACGTGCTGGTCTCTGATTTCCAGTCCAAAGATGAAGTCCTGGAAGTAAGCAGTTTGCTTCTCTGGGTGTTGTCCAGTGAGAAGGCAGCACAGGTGGCTGTTGTAGGCCCCTACACCAGATTGACACATGAACTGCGCAAACCAGTGGTTCTGACTGTAGTGTCTCTACGCCCAGTGTGTTTTGGGACAGTTTTACTTTTTTTATTTTTATTTTTTGCGGGCTAGGGGTGGAACTCAGCGCCATACATGCTAGGCAAGCACTCTACCACTGGGCCACCCTCCAACCTGGCAGTTAGTGTCAAATAACCTCGCCCCGCCCCGTGTTCAAGACTCAGCTCATGACCACCCTGCCCAGGGAACCTGACCTGGGTCTGACTCTCACTTTAACGTGTGTTATACACCGTTTGTAATGAGGATTGCTTCTTGAAAGCAGCTCCTCCAGGGCAGGAGTGAGTCTTGTTTGCTGCTTTTATGCGGATCTAGCACAGACAGCATAACTTACAGTATGAATAGGTCAATGATTTTCATAAGAGTTCTTGGATGAAGGACTGTGTTTTATTTAACATAGGTGTAGACGAGACAGTGGCCCAGCATGTGTGATCAGCAGCCCAGAAAGAAATTTCATGATCTGTTTAACTTCGCTTCTGGAAGCTTCTGGTCAGCTAGCACCTATGAGTTCCCACACAGCACCTGTTCCTGCATTGGCTCAGTGTGGTGTCCAGGACAGTGCTTCTCAAAGTGTGTGTGTGTGGAGGGAGCAGGGGGCGGAGGTATCAGCTGGTACAACACTTGGCTAGTTAGAGGCTCTGAATTCAATCCCCAGGACCAGGGGGCCCATCTCTAACCTGCCATAGGAGGCCCTGGGAGAGGACATGGAATCTGGGATTCCATCAGCTCCCCAATTATGTTCATGAGTGTTAGCACCTGAATAGAACCCTCCCAGCCCCTAGCAGCCACAGAGCCAATGGTTCTTCGTCCTTTCTTCCATGCCCAGTGTGGCTCTCCTGGGAGCAAGGGTGGGGAGTTGAAGGGCAGTGTGTTTAAAGAGCTTCCCTGTGGACAACACAGCTTCCTGGAGGACCAGGCATGGCAGGAGGTGGGCATGGTCTGGGGCCTCACTCCCTTTTGTTTTCCTAGGCCTTGATGTGTTCCTGCTTCATTCCTTTCTACTCGGGCTTAATCCCTCCATCCTTTAGAGGTGTGGTAAGTGTGTGTTTGTGGCAGCTAGGCTGAGACCTAGGGCTTTCTCTAAGGTGAGTTGACACAACCCCTGATCAAAGTCCCCAGGACCCTGTCTGAATGCAGAGCCTCATTCCTCTCAGCCTCACAGACAGAATCTGTACCTGGGTGGCACGGCTCACTTCTTGTGTAAAGCTCACCCCACTGTCTGTAAGGTGCACTGGTCAGGTTACTTAATCCGCTCACTGTAGGTAGCTTCTCAGTAGCCTAGTTAAAGTGTAAGATGCTTAAGAATCAATTACTCACTAAAAAAGGCAGAGCTTTATTCTTAGGGAAAATAGCACAGTAGTAGGTTTTCTAACAACAACAAAAATTTGTATGTGGGGGCCTACTCATAAGTCTTTTGTTTTACTTGCTTTTGACACTTTTTTTTTTTTTTTGTGGTGCTGGGGCTTGAACTCAGGGCCTATACCTTGAGCCACTCTGCCAGCCCTTTTTTCTGAAGGATTTTTTCGAGATAGGGTCTCACGAACTATTTGCCCAGGTTGGCTTTGAACCATGATCCTCCTGATCTCTGCCTCCTGAGTAGCTAGGATTACAGGTGTGAGCCACCAGTGCCTGGCATTCAATGTGGAAATGTGATTCTTGTTAACTTTTTGGCAATGCTTTTTTTTTGGTTGTTCTGGAGTTTGAACTCAGGACCTCATGCTTGCTAGGCGAGTGCTCTACCACTTGAGCCATTCCATCAGCCCACTTTTACCTTTTTTGTGACACACAAAGAAAGTCTAGGCTATATAATGCTGGTCTTTTAGGGTTTGTTTGGTTTTTTTAACTCATGAGAACAGAAACAGAATGGCTGATAAAATGCCATGGGCAGCAGAAACAAAGGGAGGTGGAATTTAGGAGCCTTCAGTTCCAAGCCAGGTATCCCAGGCATTTTCTGGAGATGGAGTTACAATCCCCTTCTGCCTAGTGTCACACTGCAGCCACCAGGGTGCCCTGCTGCCTCTCCACTCAATGAACCACTGAGGTTCACTGTAAACTGCCCTTCTTGTCCTCTGTGGGTCGGGGTCCAGGACAGGGACACTCAGGGGCCCAGCCATGAAGTGAGCAAGGCACTCATTGGATTCTCATATTGACCCCTTGCCCTGCTGGTGGTGTCAGGTGGGCATTTTATTTTTCTAGAACTAAGCTGAAGGGTCCCCAAGAGCCTTGGTGATGGCCTTGACTCCCTAGTGACATCCTGGAGTCTCAGATCAGGAAGGCAGCTGGAGCCCCTCTTGGCTCAGGCTTCAAGAGTGGTGCAGACAGGTAAATGATAGCTGGGCCATTTTGGACACATTTCTTTCTTTTTTTTTTTTTTTTTTTTCTCTTTGAGTCAGGATCTCACTATGGAGCCCAGATTGGTCTCCAGCTTGTGATCTTTCTGCCTTAGCCTCCTGAGTGCTGGGACTGCAGGCCTGTAGAGATTACAGCCCTGTGCCACCATGCCTGGCTTCATGAGGACATTTTCTAGGTCCCAGGTTCACTGTTTCATTTAAGTCTCAAAACCCCCTCTGAACTGGGTATGGAGGAGCATGCCTATAATCCTGGCTCTCAGGAGGCTGAGGCAGGAGAGAGTTCAAGGCAGGCCTATATAGTAAGAGACTGACGCCAAGAAAAAAAAAAAAGTTTTCACATCTTCAAGATATGGAAGGAGATAGGCTCACAGGTTAAATACCTTGCTCCAAATTTCTCAAGTTGCAAGGCTGGGGCTCTGGAGTCAAACCCATGGCCATCCTTCTTTTTCACAGTAGGCTTTGCAACATACCCTGTCCCAGTAAAGAGAGCCCCCATACTTTATAAAGCCACCCTATGCATGTTGTATGGACACACATGAAGTCGCTTAATTGGCCTTAGGACCTGGCCAGTACAACCTGGGTCGAATACCAGTTTCTGTTTACTTCTTTGCCAGGTACTTTTTGCAGCAGTGCACACCCTGTACAACAGTTTACAGCAACCCTAGGGGCCAGAATAGAGGCTGCCCCACAGATAAATGCTCAGTGAGGATTTGGTGAAAGAGGGATTCCAACGCCTCTGTCTTCCCACTGTGGTAGCCTGCTTGTGGCTCTGAAAATTCTCTGCCCGTAGTTCTGTAAGCACGCTGAACACTAGCCCGGGGTTGTACACAGTATCAACCCTTTCCTCCTTCCCTAAAAGCGGTACGTGGATGGAGGACTGAGTGACAACATACCATTTCTGAATGCCAAAACGACCATCACAGTGTCCCCCTTCTATGGGGAGTACGACATCTGCCCTAAAGTCAAGTCCACAAACTTTCTTCTTGTGGACATCGCCAAGCTCAGTCTCCGCATCTGTATGGGAAATGCCCACCTTCTCTCCAGAGCATTCTTCTCTCCCAGTCTCAAGGTGAGTGGGGTTCTCCGGGATGCCTTCCTGATGACCAGAGAACACCAGTTATTCCCTCCCTGAGAAACCAGGAATGGACTATGTCAAGGGTCATTAACTCTGAGAGAAGTTGCTTGTCCTAGGAGCTTGGCAGTTGGTACCTGGACCCTGGGCAGCACTTAGGGTCACATAGACCCCAGGCTCAGACCTCACTTCCAGGGACTGTGGTTAAGAAGTCGGGTGGGGGGTGGGATGGATGCAGAGGTTCACTTCTGTAATCCCAGTATTTGAGAGGTGGAGGGGATGGAACCCAGGGCCTCACACATGCCAAGCAGTTGCTCTACCACTGAGCTCCTCCACCCCCAGCCCAGGATGCTTGATTTTTTTCGGTTACCAACATGATTCTGACTTGTAGCCACCGTTGTCAAGAGTCAACACAGTAGGGGGTGGTGGGGAGGGTCCCCTTTTCCGATTGTTGTTTTCGTTCACATTCCTGCTCTAACACAGGAGATTTGTCGAGTTGCCATTCTGGGGAAAGATGCAGCACAGACACCTCACTGCGAGGGGCAGGACCACTGCCCAGCAGCACTGCCTCCACTCTGCTGTTCACTAGGAGATGGGTAGTGAGGCAGCTGTTAGTGACACAGGGACAGCTAGAAGAGTTGGCTAGGATGGGGGTTGGATGTGAGTCCCACTGACCCAGGGTGGAGGGGTGGGACTGGAGCCGAGCCCTCAGGAAACAATCTATGGGAGCACAGGCCCTGTGTTCCCTGTCAAGGTGGCTGCTCGGCACCCCAGGTGGTGGAGCCTGCCAGGTCCTCCATGTCTGCAGTCTTCAGGGGATGGGTGAATTGGTGGCGCTCGTACCCTGACGTGCACTTGCTTCATTTGCTCGTAGGAGATGGGGGAGCTCTGCTTCCAAGGGTACCTAGACGGCTTGCGCTTCTTGCAAGAGAGTGGAATGTGTGGGCTGGGTCACCCGTGTCCTGTTCTGTCCTGGTCTCAGTTACTGCAGTCCCCTATTCTGTCACACAGAGCTTAGCGCCTTCCCATGCTGTCTTGCTCAGCCCGCTCATCAGCTCCAAGTGAAGCAATCAGAATCATGTCCCAGCCAGGTGGAGGTCATGTCCTCATCATTGCAGATGGGGACAGAGGCTAGCACAAGTCTCCCTTGGGGGTGGAGCTGGGATTTGAACCTGACATCCCGCTTCCAGGGCTGTCCCCATTCTTCTGATGGCAGCTTTTCTTCCTTCCTTCCTCCCTGCCTCCCTCCTTCTCTCTCTCTCTCTCTCTCTCTCTCCTTCCTTCTTTTCAACTGGGGATTTGAACTCAGGGCTTTGAGATTACAAAGGAGGCACTCTACCACTTGAGCCATGACTCTAGTCCATATTGGTCTGGTTATTTTGTACATGGGGTCTCACAAACTATTTCCCCAAGATGGCTTCAAACTGCGGATCCTCCCTATCTCAGCCTCCCAACTAGCTATAATTCCAGGCATGAACCATTGGCACCTGGCTCTTTATTTTCTTTCTTTTCCTTTCCTTCTCTCCCCTTCCTTTTTGGTGGTACTGAGGTTTGAACTCAGGGCCTCGCTCTTGCCACTCAAGCCACATGCCTGCCCAGCTTGTTTGTCTTTCTGCTCGAACTCCTGTAATCCTTTAGCTTCCCGAGCTGAGGTTTAGCAGGGTTTCTGGGACCAGCTCCAAGTGAAGCAATCAGAATCATGTCCCAGCCAGGTGGAGGTCATGTCCGCTGACCTTCCAGGCAAGTGCCTGACCTTGAGTCATCCCAGGTCTTCGGGGCTGTGGATATCCAGTCATGCACTGTTAATATTGGTCAGTGTACTGCATATACCTCCATGGTCCCGTGTGATTGTATCATCCAGTGACATTGCGCCGTTTAGTTCACGTAAATGCACTCTGTGAGGTTTGCACAATGGCAAAACTAGCTGACGACACGTTTCATGTGTCCTGATGTGAAATGACACATAACTAGAGTAGACCCCAACATTGGGCATGTTTGGAACTATTTTGACTAAAGCTAGTTGATGTATTGACTCATCAAATTGGCCTTTCCCAAGGCGTAAGAGACGTGTGTTTATGCAGGTGGACAGATGTGTGCTGTGTGTTGATACGACAGATATGTATTTAAAGATTCAGAACCTACTTGTGTCACCTCCTGGGTGCCCACAATGGGCCGTGGCTAGGGACACTGCAGCGAAGTCCTCTGCCAGCCTTGGGGAGCAGTGAGGAATGAGTAGATAGCCAGAGGGCGGTGCGCTGGCAGGTGGATTGCTGTGGGATGGCTGGGGCAGTGGGCGTCCATGAGCACATGGGCCCGCACTGAGGATGGGATGAGTGGAAGAGCTGGAAGTGTGCAATGCATAGACATGGGACCTGAGGGTCACAGAGACGATGAACAAGGGCTTGTGTGGCTGGGGTGGCGGGGGAGGGGGATCTGAGAGATGAATGGAGAAGAGAGGGCAGGAATGGAAGGGTGGGCTGGGCTTTGTGGATGTGATGAGGGGTTTTCGTCCCACAGAAATAGGGAGTCATTGAGGGTTCTTAAAGCAGGAATGAAGTAGTTCAGGGGAGAGCTTTGGAAACATAGCTGCAGTTTGGAGAGGGAAGGCCAGGACCCAGCCCTTCAAGCAAAACAAAACATGCAAAAAAGCATGGCGAAATAATTTATCCCAAGGTTTCTCAACAATCCTCCAGGTATTGGTTCTGAGCTGGGTATCATGGTGCATACCTGTAATCCCAGCACACAGGGATCAGAGGTAGGAGGGTTATGGGTTTGAGGCCATCCTGGGTAATATAATGAGACCCCGTATCAGGGAAAAAGAGAGATGAGGGGGGAGGGAAAGGGAGAGAGGAACAGAGAGTGAGAGGAAGGGAGAGAAGAGAGAGAGAAGAGGTGGCGGCATGCACCTGTAGTCCCAGCTACTCATGAGGAACAACTGCCCTTGTCACTAGCAAGGCACAAAAAGTAGAGCACAAGCCCAGCATCCTGGAGCCCAGTGAGGTGGCCCAAGGCTCAGCCAGGAAACCAATCCAAAGGGCCAGAGGGAATGTGACTGGGAAATGGCTGAAGGGAGGTGGGGGAAGAGGCAGATGGAGGCTGAAGTCGGGGCTCTTCTCAGGTCCCTGGTGAAGGGCACCCAGGTAGCGTGGGCAGGAAGGCTGGTGTCCCCTGCGTCCTGAGGCAACCACCCTCTGGGAATGGATTCTTTGGATCATAGCTAAGAAGGGCATTTTTTTTTGGGTGGGGGGGAGAAGGAATGTGGGAACATAAGTGTGGGAGCATCTTGGGGGGTGCAGGTGCCCAGGAACACCTTGGGCTTTCTCACCTGAGCTGGGTGCAGCCCTGGACACGTGGTGCTGCCTGCATCCTGCCCGGCCCAGCAAATGACCCCTTTAAGAACAGGGACGAGTCACTCACTGGAGTCAGTGCTGCACTCCAGTACCTAGGGCAGGGCACATGAGAGGCACAATACTCCCCTAACACTTTCAGCCAAGTGACGCCAGACCTGGTTCGGCCACTTACTAGCTGTGTGACTTCGGACAAATCTCTTAACCTCTCTTGCTTCTCAGCTGAAAATGCAGATGAAGAAAACGGTAGCTCTGAGTGGCTGCTGTGTGGTGAAGCACTTAGCCAGTGGTGTAGTATAAGTTGATTAAAATCCATGTCTTTCAAGCTTATAAATCCCCATTTGGAGTGGAAGTCCACACAGCTAGGGAGTGACAGAGGCAGGAGCCAACTCACCTGTCTGGCTCTTTTTTTTTTTTTTTTGTGGTACTAGGGATTGAATCCAGTGCTCCTCCCTGTCCAGCTCCAAAGACCCACACTTCTTTCTCTGGGCTTCAAAGGCTGGCCCTTGTCTTACCCCAGCGCTGTGTACCTAGCTATCAATAGGCCTTACAGTTTCCCTCACGTTGGCCTGCCTGCCCTATAATTCTGGAGGTGAGAGTGGCTGGGCAGTGATACAGCTCTGCTTGCTGAATCCTTCAATGAATTTGTCTTCATCCCCTTTGGAAGGCATCTGTAACAGGCCCCAGCTGGGCCCGAACTTGTCCTTGGAAGAAATGGAGCAAGAAGTCATGGCACCCTACTGTGAAGACAGTAGCATGGAGGGGGACAAGCTGCTGGACCCCCTGAGCCTCACCGTCCTGCCACCATGGGACGAGACCATCCTGGAGATCCTGTCCCCCAGGCTTACCACAGGTACCTGTGCACTGTCCCAGAATGCAAGGGTGGGAGCAAGTGAAAGGGCCTCATTCCTGTATGAGAAAGGTGACATTGCCACTGGGAAGCAAAAAGGCCTCGAGACCACACAGATCGGTAGGAATAGAGCCTCTCACTGCCCAGGCCTGTGTGGGGTGCCACCTTCCAGGCCAGGGCTCCCTGGGACCCCTGAGCCTTCCGACCCTCCCTTCCTTCCCCAGGATGAAGAGAGGCTGCAGCAGGGCCCAGGGGTTGAGTGCACAGGCTCCAGCTGGCAGCCACGCTGATTCCGGGGCTAGGGTCTTGCCTTTGGGACTCAGCCCGTGCCCTCAGAACACCTTTCTGTTCGCTGTTCTCCACCTGTACTGAGGTCCCTTTCTTGGGATCCCTCTCCTTATTTCCGCCCTCTCATACCCACGATTTTAAACCCTCGCTGAATGGTGTTTTGTTTGGTTGGCAGTACTGGGGTTGGAACTCAGGGCTTCTTGTTTTTAAAGCAGGAACTCTAAACACTTGAATCGCATCCGTGGCCTGGTGTTACGTTTTATAACGTCATCAAGTGCTGAGAAGACACTGCTGTGGTCTGAATGCTTGTGTCCCCTCAAAATTAATATGCTGAAATCCTTATCCCCAAGGTGATGATTTTAGGAGATGGGTATTTGGGGGATTAGGTCTAAGGGTGGGGTCCTCATCAGAGGTATTAGTGCCTTTGTAAAGGAGGCACTGAGCGAGATCCTTTGTCCATTCCATCCTGTGAGAACTCAGAAGGCTCTGTCTGTGGGAATCTTGGCTTTTACCAAATACCAATGTCTGCTGTCACTTTGATCGCTGGCTTCCCAGCCCCCTAGAACTAGAAGTAAATGTTTGTTGATTGTATAAGCCACCCAATTTATGGCTTTTTGTGATTGCACACTGATCAGGTTAAGTCAGACAGATGAAGCTCAAGAAGCTCAAAGGCAAATCAGACAGGGGGCTTTGCCCTGGAGATGCTGAGCCCCAAGAAATGGGAGACAGCAGCTGCCCTGGTTATGATGACATGGGGTGTCAGGGTCATCAGGGAGAGGAATACAAGCCTGCCGCTCCAGGAATGGGATGGATCCAGCTGAGAGGTGGAGGGACTGCCTGTACAGCAGTGGCTGAGAAGTTTGTGTGCTCCTCCACGCGTATTTGTCAATTTAACAGTTTAATAGGACTGGGCGTGTAGCTCAGTGGTAGAGCACATGCCTAACATGGACAAGGCTCTGGGTTCAATCCCATACCACACACACACACACACACACACACACACACACACAAAATGAAAAAAGAGAGATTAGTTAATTGTTAACTGGGAACCCTGGATCTAAGGCAGCCTGGGCTATGTTGCTGATTTGATCTTTTTTGGCATGGGGTCTTGCTATGTGGCCCAGGTTGACCTTGAACTCTGAACTCTACAATCCTTAGATGCTTGAGTGCTGGGATTATAGGCATGTACCACCACACCCAGCTCCAATTTGATCTTTACATCACTCTTGCTGTACAAGGAGCATCCTGACAAAGCCAAATGTTGTCCCATTTGTGATGTTCCTGACTCAGCCTCCAGACTTAGTTTACTTCAGAGAATTTCATGCCCCATCTGGGCAAAGTGGGTTGGTTCTTCATAGCAGAGGACACATCTGCAAACTGCCTTTTTCAGCCCTCCATGAAGCAATAGAAGACAGAGATGGGTATCTGAGCAAGGTCTGTAACCTCCTACCTGTGCGGATCCTGTCCTACATGCTGCTGCTCTGCACCCTGCCTGTGGAGTCGGCCATCGCTGCTGTCCGCAGGTGACGATGCGGCATGTGCTGTGTGTCTTCCTCCGGGGTCGGCATGAGGATTTAGGGGATCGTAGAGGGCGGGCTCCTTGTGCAGCAGGATGTGGCTCAGAGGCTGCACACAGCCCCTGAAGGTGGCCTTCCTAGTCCTTGGAGCCACAGAGAGACTTTGAGAGCTGGCAGGGGCTTCACGTAGCATCTGGTGCAGCCCTTCATGATCTCCAGGGTAAACTGAGACCCAGGGTTGGGGTCAGAGCTCTGACACCACAGAGCTGGAAGGCCAGGGTTCGAAGCAGGGTCCTTGCTGCCCTTCAAGCTTGGCCTCCTTTGAAGTCATATGAAGGTAGTGGACAGCAGAGAAGCCCAACTTCTGTTCTGGCCATTGTCGGTTAGTGGGATTCAGAGTCAGCAACGGAGGTTAGAGTGTGAAGGTTGTGGAACATGTTCACTGGGCTCCTTCTGAGATGGGGACAGAATGGGGCAGCTTGGTTCAATAGTGGTGCAAATCCTGGCTGCACCTTTTACTTTAGCTGTGTGACCCTGGACGATTGAACGTACCTCTCTGTGTTGTAGCATCTGGAACACGGGGATGGTAAGAGACCTAGAGCAGGCAGTGAGCAGGAGACCCAGTGAGGTACTGAGCTGAAGTCAGTCCGTGATGCCAGTGAGTCTATCTTCTGATGCAGGTCACAGATCCCTTATCCGAAATGCTCAGGGCCAGTGTTTCAGAGTTTAGAGCTTTTTGTATTTTGAAGTATTTGCATAGACTTGACCAGTTGAGAATCCATAGGTTAAAAAAATCTGAAGCTTTTTGAGCGTCACATCAGTGCTAAAATTCCAGACTTTTACTTCAGGTACAGCAGAGCGTGCCTACTACAATCGCAGCACCTGGGAAGCTAAGGCAGGAGAATCACAAGTCTAAGACCAGCCTGGGCTACAGGACAAGAGCCGTTTTCAAAACAAAAAACAAAAAAAGAGAGGTTTGGATTTTGTATTTTTAGGTTAGAGATGATCTACCTGTAATAATATTGATAAGGGAAAATTAGACAAAAGGGAATGGGCTTTGGAAATACACCAGGGCTCTGCAGTTGCTAAGCTGGTGACTTCAAGCAAGTTGCTCAACTTCTCATGTCTGGGTAAGAAATCCTATTTCAGTGCATTGACAGGAAATGGAAGGAGCTTGATTAAAAAACATTACCCAGGTCTGACTGAGAAAAAAACTGAGACACAGGAATGGGGTAAAGGGCCCATAGGGAGTCCAGGGAAGGGGGAATCTGAGAGCTTGAAAGGTGACAAGGTGCAAATGCCAGCCTGCCCATTATGAAATGGTAGAGCCTTGCCCAGTGAGCCCAAAGCCCTGAGTTCAAACCCCAGTACCGCCTATGAAGAGGGTTGGCAACTTAACATGTAAGCTATTAAAATAATCTCAGACTCTGTCTCTTCAAGGAGTGGGGATCCACACACCCGGATAAACAAATACCCTGTGAGGGAGAATGAGCTGGTTCATCAGTAGTTGGTTTTTAAGATCATCTGACTGAATGAGGCGGCTCACACCTGTAATCCCAGCTACTGGGAGGTCTCCATCTTCAAGGCCAGCCCAGACAAAATAAAATAGTGAGATCCTCATCTTCAAGCTGGGTATGGTGGTGTGTGCCTGTGATCCCAGCTGCACAGGGGAATTTAGGTAGGAGGATCTTGGTCTGAGGCCAGTCTGCAGAAAAAAAAAAAAATCTCGACAGCCTACCTGAGTCCAAATCCCAGTACCAAAAAAAAAAAAAAAAAAAAATCTGGAAGTTCTGGACCCTCCCTTGATGGCCTTGTCCCCACCCCATCTGGCTTGGTAGCCTGGGGTGTTCACCATACAATCTGTCCTGCCAGTTCCCACCCTTGGATTCTGTGTATTTTTCTTGGCTTACTCCCTTGTTTTTCTGGAGTGCAGCCTCAAAAAAGTCCCCCAGGAAGTAAGCATTCTGATTTCCTGCCACTGGGATAGGTGCTTGTCTACCATCAATGGATTGCTGGGTTGGCTGCCTGTAAACCTGCAGGTTGAAAATGATTTCCTGCGGGCTGGCACTGTGGCTCATAAAAAAAAAGAAAGAAAGAAATGAAAATAAGTGAATAAATAAAGGAAATCTCAGAGGTGAGCCCACCTCTCTCCTGTCTTGTGGCTCTCACAGAGCTGTCCCTGGGAGTCTGGTCTTGTACTTTGGGGTTTTATCTGTGTTGCTGTGAGCAGGACATGCAGCAAACGCAGGTGTGTGGGTGCAGTCATGGGCATTTGCTTTGTTCAGCTGAAGACTCAGTTCAGTGGGGACTTTCTTTTTAGCAAATTATTGTAGCAAATCCTCCAACCTATCTTTTTTTTTCCCTCAGTATACTGGGATTTGAACTCAGTGCCTCATGCTTGCTACTGCTTGAACCACGCTCTCAGCCCTTTTATGATTTAGTTATTTTTCAGGTAGAGTTTTTTTGTTTTGTTTTTTTTGTCTGAGACTGTGAGCCTTTTACCTCTTCCCCACTGTCTCAGGTTTTTGCCGAGGCCAGCCTCAGACTTCAGTCCTTCCATCTGCCTAGCTGGGATTAAGGCCTGAGCCATGGCGCCCTGCTTGTCCAGCACATCTTTTAAAGCCCAGCCCCTCCTTCAAAACCTCTTATGGGGCCTTCCAGACTGTCTCCCCCCTCCAGAATCAGCCCCCACTACATCGTCTTGGGTTGGGGCCTGAGAGACGGAGGTGTTCTTTGTGCCTGGGGGATGGAGAGTCTGTGGGGATTGTGGCTGGGCCTTTTTTTGGCTTGCAGTGATCAAACACAGCTGGCCTCTAAGCAGAGGCTGGACCTGGACCACTGCTGTCCAGGCCTAGGGCAGCTCCCCATGGAGCCATGTGGGCCTCACACAGCTGAGGCCTTTCTCTTTTATTTCCAAAAATCTTTTGAGCTTTCTGGAACTAAACACAGTCTCACTTTGCTTTGGAGATTTTAGGTGGGCTCATTTTTGTCATAAAATCCCAAATCCATGTTTGGGAACTTGTCAGATTGGGGTCGGAGGTGACACTGGCTGTCTACTTAGACAGAAGGTACCGTGGTAAGATGGCTGCCTCTTGCTTACTTTTTCTTGGCTCCTCTTCACACTGGGGTTTCCTGTGTTGGCTTCGTTCTGCAGACTGGTGATGTGGCTTCCAGACCTGCCCAATGACATCCAGTGGTTGCACTGGGCAACTTCTCAGGTCTGCGTCCGTGTGACGACATGTCTGCTCCCCTCTTCCAGGTAAATAATTTGATGTGCAGGCCACATGGGCACCGTGCAATCTGCCTGCCTCACGCAGCGTCCTAGAAACTTTTCATTCCATGTCAGACAGGTGGCAGGGAGCTGGCTCTCTGTTGCAGGACCCTGTCCTGTGGGAGGCCTGGGTTCATCAGAGGTCCCAGTGTTCCCGCTGATACCTCCCGGGGGAGCTTCAGCTTGGGATGTCCACTGGGGCCCAGTGTTGATGGCAGAGGAAAGAGCAAGCCCATGATGGAGCAGGGGAGGTGCCCGCGTGGAGGGATGGAGAGAAGATTGGAGTGCTGGGCAGCACTGGGTGCCTCAGCACAGCGAAGGTGGAGCTCAGAGACAGGGCCCAGAAGAGTAGAGGAGGGGTGGGGGGAAGCCAGGGCCAGCTGGGGTGGGTGGGGCCTGTCAGGGCTTCTGACCTAACTTGGGTGGCATGCTGTTGGAGGCAGTTGCTGGGCCCTGAGTTCTGCAAACTTGGATCCAGGGGCAGGCATCCCTTGCTCCCATAGGGCTGGGCCTCCCCCTGAAAATTGAGGGCCTCTGTTTCCTCACTTCCTCGTCAGGATACTCCCTGTCCCCTCACTGGGTCCTGTGAGGCTAACAGGAGCCACTGGCCCGTGCTGGGCCCTAGGGAAGGGGCCTCTGGAGCTGTTGTTGCTGTTGGTAGACACAGGAGTGTTGCAAAGCAGGAGAGTGGGAGGGTCTGACTGCCCTGTACCACAGGAGGACAGACATGGGACCAGGCAGTGGTGGGGTGGGGACAGCCCAGTGACTAGTAGGCCATGGTGGGCACCCCGCCTAGTGAGCAGCCCTGTGTGGAGAAAACTGATGGCCCCATAGGGACTTGTAGATGGATGATACCTGTGGCTGTCCAATGAGAGTATCTAGATGGTGGGGAAGGCCACAGGCTTGGAAGACTGGGATGCTGACAGCAGCCCAGCACTGAGGGCAGGAAGTAGCTGTGGCTATGAGCTCAGCCACTGCAGATCCCAGAGCACATGTGATGCTGTGCTCAGTGGCCAGCACTGCCAGGCCATTGTTGTAGGAACTGAAGACCTCAGAGCAGTGGGAAGGGCAGGGAAAGGTGACCAAGCTTACTTCCTTCCTTTGTTTCAGATCCCAAATGCCAGCAAGCATCCAACATGCTTCCTCATACAAACCAGAAATACCAGAATGCAGTTCTGCTGCTTTGTAGATGGCAGGTCCCCACTTCCCATGGACCTGAACGCTTGCCCTGTGGATGGTCCAGGAGAGGCAATGCTGTCACTTGGTCTCCACCCTCAGGTCCAGCCTGACCTTGGGCTGGGGCACCACCTGCTGGGTGGGGATGTTCACCTTCCCTGATGTCCCAGTGGGAAGGGTTTTGGCACCTGAAGAGGCATCTGGGGATTCTTTGAGATGCTGAGCCTTCTCATCTTTGTCTAGCTGCCCGTGGCTGCTGTTTAGTGACCCCATGCCTGGGACCCAGGCTCTCCAGCTCCAGGCTGAATCCAGTTTATGGAAACCAGAGATAATGGGGTTGGACTATGGGCAGCTAGCAAGCTACTTTTGGTATAGGTGAAGTCCAGCACTTACAGAGATCTAATTTCTGAGCATCAGTTAGCTGTGTTGATTGGGGAACAGAGCCAGAAAGCCAGCACAGAGGTCTGTCTCTGGTTCTGTTTCACGGCCTTTTTCGGCTGTTTTTTGAGGATGGCCAAGATACCTTGGAAGGCCAACATTTGAACCTGGGCCTTGTGACTGGCAGTTTGTGCAATCTTGAAGGCAGAGAGTATCAGGTTCCCACCAACTCCCAGGGTGCACCCAGTGCAGGAGAGGGGGTTATGACCCTGAGAAGAGCCCCAACTATTAGGTGGTGGTAAAAGATGATAACTTGTCTACATCTGAGAACACCTTTTTGGCCTAGCTAAAATATTTTCTAAAGTTTCATATAAACATGCAAGGGCATACGTGTTGAATTACGTACTATGTGAAGCAGTGAGCTGTTCACAGAATAAGCCTTAAAGTAAAACCTAATGTGTGGGGCAGACACCCTCCCTGCTGGGCAGAGCCAACCACAATGGAAGATTCCACCTCTTTGCTCAACTTGAACTTGGCTTACTTTCCACACACGTCTGCTGCATCCTTCTTTCTCTCAGAATCTTCCTCTCTCTCCTCTATTCTGCCAGCCTTAATGGAGACAAGCACTTGAGGCACAACCTGCCTTTTCCTCAGGAATGTGTAGATGATCGAAGGTGAAATGTGTGTGTTCTCTAATTCACACGCTTGAGTGTAACAACAAAAAGAAACAGTGGGGCTGGGGATGTGGCTCCAGTGGGAATGGCTGGCAAACAGGAGGCCCTGAGTTCAAATCCCAATACTACCAAAACTAAAACCAAACAACATACAAAACCAGAAACAGTGATCTGCTCAAACTCCTAAATGTTGGCCGAGAAAGTTACAGCATGCCTCTGTGCTGTGTGGGTGAGACTTCCAAGTGCAACTTCAAGTTCAAATTAGCACTTTCTAGAGAAGACAACTCTGTGAGAAGGTGGCTCCACAGGACAGCCTGTGTGAGCCTCTCTCGTTCACATGCCAGAAGCCCAGGGTTTTGGGTGGGAGCCCGGCTCCCTACTCGGGGGTCTCCTGTTCTGGTGAAGACGTTCCATAAATAAGGCCTAAAGGTGCATGGGGTGGGGTGGGGTGCTCTGTGCTGCCACCCCCAGAACAAAGCCCGGTCCCTTTGGAGAGCTGGAACAGGGGTGGAGGAGGGTGCACCTGGTACCCATCTGGCTCCGTGTGACCCCGTGCTTCTTCCCAAGTTTTTCCACGGACTTCCTTCTGCTCAGCCACAGAAGGCTGGGCCTGGGTCATTGGCAAATGTTCATGGTGTTTGACAACAATCAATTTCCACATAGACAGGTACACTGTATTATAAGAATGGTAAATGGCTGATTGGATCACACAGGACTTCTTTCTGCTTTTTAAAATTTTTCAGCATCCTTACAGTGAGCATATGTATTGCTGTTACATTTTTTGGCAGTACTGGGGTTTGGTTAATTTATTTTTTTTTTTTTTTCTGGAAGTACTGGAGTTTGAATTCAGGGTCTCACACTTGCTAGGCAGGTGCTCTACCACTTGAGCCATGGCCCATCCCCCAGCCCCACTGCGTTATTTTGTAAAGATGGTAGTAAGATTAGGAAGTAAGAGCGACAGCCTAGCGGTGGTGGAGGCTGCCCCACCTCCCGGAGAGATTCTCCTTAGCACATGGGAACACTTAATTTCCTGTTGCCCAATCAGCTGGAGCCCTTCCATTATCTGCGGGAGTAATTAGGTTAGGAGAGTTAATGCCACGGAGCAGCGGTCTTTATTTGGTACACAAGAGAGGAACTTGTGCAGAGTATGTGCCCGATTTTGTTTAAGAACTGTGTGAAAGGACTGAAGGGATGCATACCCAAATATCATTCTGCTTCTCATTCTGCTGTTATCTGTGGTAGGACTGTCTTGGTTGGGTCTGTGTGTGTCTTCCAAATTCCTGTAGTGAACATCAGGGTCAGAAAATACTCATAATAAATGTGATTTTAAAAGTGTGCTCCCGTGTCTAAGTCTTTTCTGTCCTTTCACAGCCAAGGCCCTGTGACAGCCTCCCCATGGGGCCCACCTGGCGCTGAGAACTCTGACATGTGCTCTTTCCCGAGCTCTGTGGTTCAGACCCTCCTGGGATCACATTCCTCAGTGTTCAAAACAAAGTCAGTGGTGGTCCCGCTTGCTTGCAGAGGTTGGGGAGGGCCTACTGATAAGGGAACTTAAACTGGGAGGGGTGAAATGAGGGAATGGGTAAAAACTATGTATGTGCCAGAAAGCACATGCCACAGGGAGACCTTCCTCCCACAAAGGAAGATGGATACCACTAAACCCGCTTCTAAAATTTGACCAGCTCTAGGAGAGGCATATTTAAAAATAGCCCAATAAGAAATTTAGGTGATGGGCGGGAAGAATACATCCCGTAGTACTCAGCCAATGAGGAACAAGGGAGGGACTTGGGCACTAGAGAATATATAATGCTGGTTGTAACCACTTTGGGCGTCTCTGCTCACTGGGATCTTGGATCCTGGATCTTGTAAAGGCTGCCATTAAAGCCTTGCTTTCACTGCATTCCACGTCTCTGAGTCCATTCTTTGAGTTTGGATGCGTGAGCATATTTCTCACACTCGGGCCTCCAGACTCTCCCTCTGATGCAACCTGCACCTGTTCCCAAGCTCCCAGGGAGCTGCACTGCCAAGTGTGCACAGCCACACCTGGGAGACCTCGTTTGCTCCTAAGACCTCCAGTCTCTGGTTGTGGTGGGGGTCAGGCTCACTCAACTCCAGATCCCCTGAGACAGGGGCAGTGCCCCTCACTTCCACTTCAGCTGGCCTAAGTCCTGCCTCCACTCAAACTCCCTGGAGTCTGGTCTTATCCTCAGTCTACTGCTGTCCTGGCCAGGCCCTGCCCTTTGTAGGGCTGCTGTAATAGCTTCCCTCCCCCATCCCGGGGAGGCAGGGACTGTGTCACTCTTAGCATTCTCAGCCTCGGGCCCATCTGCCCTCCATGTGGCTGCCAGTGCCAACATAAGGCCTAGAGTCAACCCTAGCACCCAACAGCTACTTCCTACCCCTCCTCCCCCTCCCAGAGCTCAAAGCTAGTCACAGGGATTGGGGCAAGCAAATGCAATTCTACCTTTTGCTCAAAAGAGGAGCACTGGTCGGGCTGGTGAAGTGGCTCACATGGTAAAGTACCTGCCTAGCAAGCATGAGGTCCTTAGTTCAAACCTCTGTGCTACCAAAAAAAAAAAAGAGGAGCACTGGTGAGAGCACCACTGAAGGACACAGAAAGCCTCAAAACAAACCCCCAAAGTCTCTAGTGAGCCAATACACTCAGCAAATAGTAGATGAAATAATTACATACATTACAGAATTTTTCAGAGCCTTTATTATGTTACTTTAATGCCTCTGTCATCCAGGCCAAGAACCTTGTGATAAGAACTGCCCCTTGCCACCATTCTATAGCCTGAACCGCAGCTAGTTTCATCCTTTGCAGAACAAAGCCCTATTGTCCCTTATCTCCTGCCACCTCTCTTTGTCTGTCCCTAGCCCTTGCTTTCTCCCAAATGCTACTTAAGGCCAGACCCGCCAAGAAAAGCTGCTGCGCCATTTTTTCTTCTCGGCTAGCCAGCCTGCTTATTAAACTTTGGACATGAGATACCTCTCGTGAGCCTCCTTTGTGTGAGGTGTGTGGCGTTTTCCTAACACTTTGGTGCATTTGGTGATATAGTGGTGAGCAAAACTGCCTTCCAAGCAGTTGATCCAGGACCAGGTGAGCTTCCGGCATCGATCTTGCTCTCCCAGTCAATAAATTCAGGCCCTTCTGATATACACTGTACTCCCAAGCCTACTTTGGCCACAAGGCAGACATCCCCTATATAGGGGAGCTTGTCTGGGGGATTATACCAGCCTGCCAAAGCTGGTGGGGGCTGCCTTTCTTAAGCCTGGATAAACTTACTGGGATCTGAGGGGCTTTGCCGAGACCCCTGACCCCAGACTAGTGCTGCCATTGCCACTCTTGCTCACAGGGAACCTCCCCAAGGCCAGTGCACTCCCACTACTCACCACCCACCACTGGTTAATTTCCTCGGTCCTCCCTTGGTGAGTTCCCTCGCGCTGCTGCGCTGTAAGTCGTGGTTCTCTCTCTCTCTCTCTCTCTCTCTCTCTCTCTCTCTCTCTCTCTCGGTCAAAATTCCTAGTACTAGGTCCTGGTTCCTGAGGCGTGGGCGATCCTCTTGGTGAAGATGTTCCCTTGAGGTCCTCCACTCCTCTGTTTCGTCCAGGAAAGCAATATCTCGGGGACGCCTGCCATATTCTTCCTCAGACCGGGTCTCGTCATGGGGACTGGACCTTCCAAAATTCTCTCAGACACCCCTCTGGGCTGTCTAAGCCCCTACGGCTCTCGCCTGATCTAAAGACAAAAAAACTCATTTTTCTTTCCAATCAGGCTTGGCCACAATACCAATTGGACACCGACTCAAAATGGCCACTTGGTGGCACACTCGACCCTAACATTCTCAGGGATCTCTATAACTTCTGTGAATGCACTGGAAAGTGGAAGGAGATTCCCTATGTCCAGGCCTTCTCTTACCTCCGCTCTAAGCCTTCTCTCTGCACCTCTTGCTCCCCTGCCCAAGTCCTTCTGGCCATAAAACCCCAATAAACATCCCTGACTCTGAAACCTTCCCTTCCTTCGACCCTGCCAACAAACCAAATCCTCTCCCAAACCTCCTCCTTCCCCATGTAAGCAGACTTCTTGTGCTGCTTACGCTACTTCTCTCTTCCTGTCTTCCTGAAGGACTTTCCCCATGATGGAGTTAAGCAAGCCACTCCTTGCCAACTCTGGCCTCAAGGCAATTCCCGCTCTGGGACAATTCATGCTCCCTCCCTGTGGGCTGAGACCAAGCCGGGGTTTATTCGGGTACGCCTCATGCTACATTAGCAGAGTCCTGTTTGATTATGGCATCTGACGACTGCTACTCTTTCCCCACATCTAATGCCCCTTTTTCCTGAGACAGCGACTGGAGAGTGGAGGTTTCATGTCGCTAAAAATGTTCCAGTACCAGTCAATGGGAGCAACCTAAAGACACAGGTGATGGCTAATCCCATAAGCGTGTGTCATGCCTCCAGGCTCTGCCTTCCCCTCCCTTACCTAAGATGTCAGCTCACCTTTCTGCCTCCTCCATGGTCTCACCACGTGTCGTTTGTCTCTGTCTGCCTTCCCCTCCCTGGGCTTACTGGGACCCTGCCTCCCATGAAAAACTCGTAGCATGATACCTTATGACTTAAGTTATTCCAACTAGTTTGCCAGGCCTCTCAATCTAAAGTAACTTTAAATCAGCTGCTTTACAAAAGTGTTTACAAAACTGCAGCTGCCATGCTCACGCCATAAGTCTGCCCCCACAAGGGGAGGAGGGAAGGCAAACAGGCACATCTGTGAACAGGATGCCGGCTCCTGGACACTGCAAAAACACCTGCCATAGCTAAGAAAATCCATAGAGAGGATCCAGCAAATCCAGGACCGCCAGCCACACGTGGTGATGGCTGCAGCCCACCACCACTTCCCCTAGAATAAATGCATTCAGAGTACACAGGAAGGGGGGAGGGGCGACAGGCCACAGGATCAGGCCTAGGCAGTCAGGGTCATTTGTCCCAGGTGTGTGTGGAGGGAGTGGCACCTTGCACAAGTCCTGCTCCTAGCCCCACCTCACACCTCAGGGCATCAGACCCAGCCCTTGTAAGCCGATTGTTAGCTCAAGGTTATAGTTCCAGAAATAACTAAATAGACATTACTGTGGTCTCTAAACTTCTCATTTAGAATCTTCTATACCTTTGGCCTCAGCATAAATTTTCCCCTCCAGATATTAACACTAGTTGTCCCGTATGGCGCTGTTATTGGCCTGCAATGCCCTCTGAATGCCCTTCTCTAACTTTACCAATGATTTCTTTGTTAAAATGTTAGCCTTTATTAAAGAGGCTGCCTGCTGTTAGCTACAAGACAGGATCCTAACGTTTTGTTCTTTCTAGATGGGATCTGCACCTTCCAGTCTTTGGCTGGTAGATGTTGGAAGCTTTGTACTGAGGTCGGCCTCAATATGCCTTGGGTGACCAAGAGAAGTGGCCTTCACAGGGTTCCTTAAATTACAATACCATACTCCAATTAGACCTTTTCTGTAAGAGTAAAAAAGTAAACTGAGGTCTCCTATACAAATTTCTTTCATTAGAAAAGCAATGGGTTCTGGCCCAGGCCACTCAGGTTGGAAATGATTATATGGCTCAAGCAGTAGAGTGCAGCTTTACAAGCAGAAAGTCCTGAGTTCAAGCCCAGTACAGCCAAAGTAAGAAATAATAATAATAATATTTGGGGCTGAGGAAGTAGCTCAATGGGAGAATGTCTGCCCAGCATGTGCAAAGCCCTGGGTTCAATTCCCCAGCATTACTAAAAAAAAAAAAAAAAAAAAAAAGTAAAGAAGATAAGTGGCATAAATGTCACTTCAGCCATCTCATAATGGAAAAACGTAGTTTAACCTAGACCAGATCACTCATTCTTCAAGCAAGGAAACTGAGGCCCAGAACAGTTCAGAGATTGGCTCTCCAGAGTGTCAGGTGTCAATGTGAAATAACAACTTTACTTTACAAAAAAAAAAAATCCTCTTACCTTTCTACAGCATCTTAAGGAGGCTATCAGAAAGCATACCACGGTGGACTCAGAGTCACAGGTGAGAGAGGGTCTCCTCAAAGATAAATTTCTAACAGTCAGTCCCAGATATTTGTTAAAAAACTCAGACTGTGGCTGAAGGGAAAATCACTGAGCCAAGTAACACAGCTAGCCATGTCTGTATTTATGGCTATGTCTGTATGTCTGGGACCTTACTAACAGGAGAGAAAAAGATAAGAGACACCATGGCCTCATTGCTGCTCTCAGAGAGGGCCCCACCCGACTGGGGCCTGTATCCTGAACTTGCTACCATGGTGGACAGGAGGGGCAC